GTGTGTGTGTGTGTGTGTGTGTGTGTGTGTGTGTGTGTGTGTGTGTGTTAGAGGAGCTCTGGGTCTGCTGTGGGCATAGACTGAAGCCTCCTGATGCTAGGCCCTGTGCTTAGCAGTGCCGTCATTTGAAGCTTGGTGTCTGAGTTGCATTTGAGTCAGTGACTTAGATCTTCCAGACATAATACAGTGATTCACTGTAATGATCAAGACTCTACACGGGAGGTTCCTGACAGTCTGACTTAAAGAGCGGTTTCTCAGAGAGCTAAGGAGCTCAGAGAGTACTCATTACATGAAACGTGACACATGCAGAATGTCCCGGGGAGAAATTATGTTCCTTCCGGCCTTTATATTTGGATTTGTGTTTGTCCTCCCAGTCTGTCGAATGTCAGGAAAGGTCCCTGCCCCTTCTCTCTGACCAAGATATAGGCACATTAGTATTGTAGCACGGAATCTCAGAATTCACAAGTTTGAGACAAAAGGACCAGCCAGATGACTTGGTTAAACCCTTGCCTTGCCTTGTTTTGTTTTGTTTTGTTTTGTTTTGTTTTGTTTAAGACAATTAAATGAAAGTTTTAAACAAGTTGAGTAGACTTTACAAGCTTCTTACACTTCCACAGTCTAAAGTCTTGTCTTGTCTTTTCTTTTCTTTTCTTTTCTTTTCTTTTCTTTTTTCTTTTCTTTTCTTTTCTTTTCTTTGCCCAAATGACAGTGAAGGCTATTAAACTTCCTCACTGAACTAAATAAACCCTGACCAATCATCAGAAGATGCTGTCCCTGGTTCAAGTTTCTGCGTTTATCACAGGCACATAGTTGAGCTGCATTAAGCATATACACTTTTACGCCAGTTGAATTCACGGGGTTCATTAAACTTAGGTGTATGAGTTCATGTTTTTCATCAAGTTTGGCTGCTGTTCCTTTGAAATGTCTGCATGGTCTCTGCTCTGCACAATTGTGAGTCTTGTGTTAAGTGTGAACACACTGATTTCATAGATGACTACAGCTTTGCTTTCTTCATGTGTTTACATCCACACATGACAGGAACTTGTTCTTGTGTCCACTCTGCTACTAAGCCATTCAGTGAGTTTTATTTCAGGTACAGTAATTTTCATACATAAATTTTAGTCATGCACAGATTACATGTGTACATATAAACACATACTTAGACATATAATTTCAGTTTCTATGCTGAGATTGTCTGCTCACCCAGTTCTCTTGAGTCCTCTTATGTTATATTGTTAAAGCTCCTGTCTGCTGATCGCCTACATTGTCTTTGTCTGTTTCTTTTCTTCAGCTGTCTTTGATTCCTGTTTTCTACCTTCAACTCCATCCAGGATTTTTTTTTTATTTTTATTTGTTTGTTTATTTGTTTGCTTTTATCTTGGGCAACCTAACAGCATATTGAGCATCTGAATTTTGTCCTCTTCCTTTGACGAATGAACTGCCTGGAATCCACTTGACCCTTTTAAGGTTCCTGTCCTGTCTCTCTAGACTGTTTATACTGTTTATACAGTGTTCTTCTGGGCAGAATCTTAGATGTCTGTCCTAATACTGCAGGCTGTCCCTTGCTTACAGTGCTGTCTCCTAGCTGTACACAGCTTTCTGTAACTCCAGTTCCAGTGGACCTCAGGGCAGCAGGCACTCTTGTGAGCACCATACATACTTGGATCACATAAAACAAAAATATTTATAGGTTATGTTAACTGTTATTAATGAATAGTAGCTTTTGTTTTAAATTGTTGTTTTAAGTAGATGACATTTTATGAAATGTCTTCCTCTCTTAGAGGACCGAATTTTTATGCCAGACATGGTTGTGCACACTTGTTATCCCACCCAGCACTAAAGAGTGTAAGGCAGGAGGAAGACCCAGAGTGGAAGCCAGCCTAAGCCATACATAGTGAATTCCAGGCTAGCCTGGGTTATGTGGCAGGCCATTAAAAAAAAAAAAATGAAGAAAGAGAGGAGAGAGGGAGGGAGGAAAGCTTATGATTTATTATTTGCCTCCATATAACTAATTATGTTAGTAGTTTGTATTAATTTTTACAAGTCTTATTTTTAAGGATAAATACAACTAGTTCTTATTTGAAAGCCTTCAGCAATGAGCTAAGATTGCATTTAGATATCTTGTATGTAGATGAGTGTAAATGTTGAAAAAACTTTGATCTTTAGTCACATTAGTTTCTTAAAATTTTTTAAATTATAATAGCTTTACATAGGTAATGAAAACTTTTCTCTATTATTGACTATTTCATCTAAAAGAAATTGCTCTTTGAATCTGTGGGATAAATCTGAAAGTAGCCTGATGGAATCAAATAACACTCAGGCAGAATGCAGCTGTAGATGGGGAGCACTGTTCTGACCACTCATTGGTTCTCTTTAGATGAATGTCGCTAGGTTTTCTCCACCACAGAGCTGTTGTTTAATCTCAAGACGGCATCTGCCATCTTTGAAACTTTTTTTTTGTCATCTACTTCCAATAAATTTTAAACATTTTTCTCTTATACAGAAATACTTTTTAAATTTCCTAGTTTCAGCCAAGAATTAAGCTTAGAAGATAGCGGAAATCTCTGACTGTTACTTTATCTGGGTAAATATAAAGGTGTTATGTGGTAGGTATAAGAGAGATTTTTTTCCTCTCCGTCTCCTCAGTTGTGGACATTCTCATTTCATCCCTTAAGTTAACTGCGTAAGATGATGACTTTATATGTATATGTATTTTTATACACTTATATATCTGTTGTATATTTTGCAGTTGACAAATTACAGTTTGAACCTCCTCTGAGAAAAGAAACGGAAGCCCGGGATGAAATGGTAACCGTGACTTTAAAACATTTCTGTGTTTGAAAAATATTTCAAGAAGTAAAGTAACTACTTTTTATACATATTAACTTTACAAATCTAGCTCACACTCTGAAGTGTGAGAAATCTAAAGATAGGCACTTTTTATGGTACTTCAGGCCGTGTAGTTTGACCCACTCACCTGAGTACTCCCAGTCTTTTGAAGGATGCTCGTGATTATTGAACCCCGACTTGGACTCAGCCCTTAACTCTGTCCTTACTGATTCTCTTGAACTTTCAGTAAGCACATTTCTGCATTGTTTTACAGTTTACGGTATCTTTTCTGTGGGGTTGGGCACGTGGCTGTTAGTAGAACATTTGCTGTGGGTTCTAGCATCTGTTTGTTTCATAGCTTCTTTTGCTTTGTCTGTGATTTGTGAGGGCACTCATGGTATAGCTCAGGCTGCCCTCCAATTGCTACAGTCCTCCTGCTTAACTGCTTAGTGCTGGGGTCAGGCATATGTCATCATACCAAAGTGACATCACTTTGAGATTAACTATATATTTAATCCTTTGTGTATAGGAATAGATAAAATACTGTCAAGATTGGCCTAAAAGGTTCCTTAATGTCTACTTTTTGTTGTTGTTGTTTTCTTATGTTTTTAGTCAATACAAGTACAGTTCCTAGTGGACTTTAATGCCATTCTTATTGCTTGTGTCTGTATGCATGTGCATTTTCCATACACATTTAATGGATTATTTGTCTTGGCCGATGGAATAGTTATGCAAATAATTAAAATTTTTGTGGGTTATTTTGTTTTGTTTTTACTTGCCAGATTGAAAGCTATATTTAGTAGATATGAGGAAGTTCTTAAGTTTACATCAGATGATAATGAGTCATTGATCTAAATGGATCAAATGACAGAACAAATTGTGGAGGCATAAAACCTATTAGATGCCGCAAGAACTAGTGGCCACAACATCCGGGTTTTGCCAGATATTTTAGCTGATAAGTAATTAGTAAATCAAAAGGGTGATATTAACTTGGTTAATGTGTGAAAGTAACACTCTAAATTGTGACCTGCACAGGGACTATCATCAGAACCAAACTTTGTATTACATTGGAATCCTTTTGTGGATGGTGCAAATACAGGCAGGTAAGTTGCTTTCTAATTAATAACTTGATTATGTGAACAGCTTTGATGGAGATTTGTCTTAAAGTTACCAGTGTAGAGCTCTGACTTACATTATTGACAAAACTGTCATGAACTATTTAGTAAGATTTGAAGGGTTGTAGTAGGGAAGGGGTTCTTTATTTTTCTCTCTCTCTCTCTCTCTCTCTCTCTCTTTTTTGTTTGTTTTGTTTTGTTTTTCAGTTGTTTGCTTTGTAGCAGGATGATGTTATGTAGCTCTGGCTTACCTGGCACTTCCTAGTTAGGCCAGATTGACCTTGAACTTGCAGGCATGTGCCACCATTCCTGGTGAGGTTTTTGGTTTAGTCCAAATATATTGTGTGTAATGATGATGCATTAAAAGATGTCACTGGGAACATAATACTGTAGTGGTGGTCAGGAAACCCTCGTTCTGTTTCTCTAATGTAGTTTCTTCATGTTCTAGACCTATCTTTATTCAACAGTGAATTGAGGGACTGGCCTCAGTGAGTGACTTGTTGACGTGTTTGTGCGTTTCAGTTACCTGGAGAATTCATTGAAAATGTGGACTTCTGGATCCCCACATTAGGCCAGTAGAGCTTAGGTTGGCAAACTGTACCCTGTGGGTCAAAGCTAGCTGCTGCTCATTCATTAAGAATGGTATTTGGGGAAGAGAGGAGTAGAGAAACGTAGGGAGTGGTAAGCAGGTGGAGAGATGGCTCAGCAGTTAAGAGCATGTGTTCCCCGCCCCCAGGTGAGCCTGGGTTTAGTTCCCAGCACCCATATCAGGCAGCTTGCAACTGCCTATTGCTCTGTTTTCAGAGAATTCAGTGCCCTCTTGTGGCCTCTGCAGGCAGTTACACACATCGGGTATACATATACTCAGGCACATATACATGTGCATACGTACACATAAAATTAACCAATAAAAGTTTAAGTTAAAAAGGGATATTTGCATTTTGAATGGATAAAAATAATAGAATAAAATTTTGTTATATGGAAAGATTGAATGAAATTAATGTCAGGGGCCGGGCGGTGGTGGCGCACGCCTTTAATCCCAGCACTTGGGAGGCAGAGGCAGGCGGATTTCTGAGTTCGAGAGTTCGAGGCTAGTCTGGTCTACAGAGTGAGTTCCAGGACAGCCAGGACTACACAGAGAAACCCTGTCTCGAAAAACCAAAAAAATAAAAAATAAAAAAAATAAAAATAAAAAAAAAGAAATTAATGTCAGGGACAGTCAAGATTTATTAGGACATAGCCATATTAACCACTTTATGTACCGTTTATAACTGCTTTCACCCTACATTGGTAGAGCTGTGACTGCTGTATGCCATCTGAAGTATACAATATTTTAGAACTGGCCCTTACAAAAAGTTTACCAACCCCTGCCAACAGTCTTAGTGAGTAGGATTTAGAGACCCTGGCAGTTTTCCACATCACCGAAAGCTCTGGAGAAGTATTCGTGACCACTGAGTAGTGGTGTCACTGTCTCTCAGGCTTTGATCTGTCAGCTGCTCACCTGGAGCTCCTATGCTGCAGGTTCTGATGCAGTTGGTCTTCCAAGTGTTCATTGTCAGAGGTCTCAGGGCCTTCACCTGAGTAACAAAGGGTTAATCATGCAGGCACTCGCATCCATGGGCTCCAGAATTCTGAGTTTCATTGTTGGCTGTTTTGTTCTTGTGTGCTTTTATTTTCATTTGGTTGTTGTTGACATTGGTTTTTGTTTTTTTTAAGACAGGGTCTCATATAGCCCAGGCTTGCTTGAGCCCCTACTCTACCTTGCCTCTGCCATCTTGGTGCTATGATTACAGGCATGTGCATCATATGCCACCTTTGATGGGAGGGAGGTTTGATTTTACTTTTTAATTTTTTATAAATACACAACCTGGTTTTGTTTATTCACTTTTCATTAATTTAGATCCTTTAAGGATACAGCATGACATGGATTCTGTATACAACATGTTAACAAAAAGGTAGCTTAGAGTGTGACGTGCCCCATGTTACTGTCCCCATGTTCGTGAGTCACCTCTCCCAGGTCACCGAGGCTCTGCTGGGTTGCCACCAGGCTTCCCTTCACTGTTCTTTGCTTTATACCAATCAGTACATCTCTTGACAAAGTAAAATTCCCTTTCATCTCAAGCATCAGCACCTCTGGTTATTAAAAGAGTCTATATGTTTCCTTGTTTCTGGGACCCCGCTTATTGACAGCAAAGGGGCTTGCACCATCACCTTCCAAACACACACTTGCCTTTCGGAAGTTCTGTTCCAAGCAGGTATCCACTGGCTCCAGAATAGTGGAGGGTTGTTTTGTTTGTTTTGTTGCTGGGAAACAAAACCAGAGCCCTGACCATACTAACCATGTGCTCTGCCCCCGAGCTGCACCCAAAGCCTGAATTTACTTCTCTACTAAGCTTAATCTAATTTAAATTACACATTAAGTACAGTAGAATAGAACTGAAAAATGACTTTGTACAGCTTTACAGTAGCTGTTGTGATAGTCTTGGACTATGAGGTCAGAGGTTGCTATCACTGTTTGTCGCTTAGAGGCTCTGGATATAAAACTCTCAGTGCATGCATGATAGTGTCATCTGTGATCCAGTCATGTATGACCATCTGAATTGAGTTTTTTTTCCCTTTGATTAGATCAACCTCTAAGCGTGCAATACCACCTCCACTACCTCCTAAGGTAAGCTGCTGAAGGGTTGTGAACAATAACTCCTTCATATAATTACATTTTAAAAATAATTTCATTGGCTTTGTTCATATTTTCAAGTTTATTAATTTTCTTTAGTAGGTGGCGATAGAAAGTACATTGCAAAGGTGATTTTATGTGAAATAATACACTTTAATAGATGCCAGAAAGAAGTAGGGTTTTGCTCATTTGGAATAGTATTTGTCTGCATGGAGGGAGATGCAAAGTTTATTTATCATCACCATTTATTACTGTAATTTGACATTTCAGTTGAACCATTTTTTATTAAGTCATCATCTTTGTCAGTTTCTACTTGTTAAATATATGGCGACTGCTTACATAATTTTATTGGTTATAAAAGTTTTATGATTGGGGTTGGGACTCATTTTAAAACCCTCTTGATAAATTCATAGTTGTGTTGGGCAGTGACTCACTTGAGTCCTTTGCTGAAGGTTACTGTGACCTTTTAAAGAATACTTTCCTACCCTCTGGTCATTAGCCAAGGATAAACACTTACCCTGAAGACAGCCTCCCAGATGAAGAAAAATCATCAACCATCAAACGTTGCCCTGATCTGGAGTCTAGAGCACCTCAGGTCCTCAGAAGACAGAGTAGCCCAAGTTGTGTTCCTGTACTGGAGACATCCTCTATAGGTACGGCCAGCATCCCACATCCCTGGAGTACACAGCATCCCAGGTTCTGTGATGTAGATGAGTCAGACAGACAGGATGGAAAGCCATTCTCTTCCTGGGTCTAAGACTATCTCTTCTTCAGTCAGTCCTTTTGCAGTTCAGACCTTCGTTTCTGTGTTTTAATTATACACAGTGGACAGTAAAAGATTCAGACCAGTTCAGCCTTATTCAGCCACTTAGTAAATATTATAGGATCCAGAGGAGGAGCTCATGTTCTTCCCACTAGGAGGGTAGAAGCTCGACAGAAGTTATACCTATACACATATAACATTATGAAAGATGGCTGAGTATGCTGATGCTTGCCCAGTACTCCAGGGGCAGAGGACAGCCTAAACAGCATAGTGAGACAGGTCTTTGTAATTAATTTTAAAAAAATAATAGGATGGAGGAAAGAAAAGAACGACGGGTGTGTGGTGTTTCCTGAAACAATGACCATATCTAGCAGAGCCCTGACGTTTCTGAGAGGCTAGAGAATAGTGAGGTGGGTTACTGGAGGGTGCTAAAGGGCTTCAGGAGCTTACAAGAGGGAGAGCCAGTGCTTAGACATTCTTGGAGAATAAGAAGGAGTGGGCAGATGCATTAGCATCTGAATCATATTTGAAGTAGTGTAATATGCTGTGAGAGTGATATTTAAGGTAGGACTGAGCATGTAGATTGATTTATGTTGGGAAAGATATTGAGTATCACCGTCAGTAGGATAGATGTTGTTTGTGTTCACAATGTATTTGTCATAACTTAAGAGCACCACTAAGGAAGCAGTGCAGCCGAAGAGTCTGGAGGGCAGCACCGAGGATAAATTAACTCATCTGACAGAAACCAACGTGCTCCCACAAACCAGTGTGCTCCCATACTCACTCGAGAGGAAGGGAAATAATGGAGGCAAAGAAAAGTTATTTTTCACAGAATGTTCTTGTGTGGTCATTCAACTTTAACCACGGTTCCCTTAGGAAATGGTGATGGTATTTCAAAACTGATCAGTGAAAATACAGAGGGATCAGCACAAGCTCCGCAGCTACCTCGAAAAAAGGACAAACGGGACTTCCCTGTGAGTACAGTGGGTGCTTAGACACTGTTTATAACTCATAGTTTCTCTTAGCAAGCATTAGAACCCAAGTAACTAGAGTTGAGCATGGTGGTGTGGGCTTCACCAGAGGCTAAGGCAGAAGACTCACTAGAGCTCAGAAGTTTGCGGTCATGTAGACAACACAAAGACTCTGTTTCTTTTATATGTATAGGGAGATGACTCAGCAGTTGAGATCACTGGCTGTTGTTCCAGAGGGCCTGGGTTCAATTCCCACACCCACCACATGATAGCTCACCCATCTGTAACTTCAGTCCCAGGGGATCTGATACCCTCTTTTGGGCCTCCACAGGCACCAGGCACACACACGGTGCATATGCATACATGCAGGCAAAACACCCATATATATAAACTAAAAATAAGTCTAAAATAATTTTTATATATAATAGCTAAAATAGTAAGCAACTCACATTTTAGTTTTAACACTAGGGTTTCTTACAGTATTAAAAATTACTTAAAAATTTTTTTTTCACAGAAACCAACCATCAATGGCCTTCCACCCACCCCAAAAGTGCTGGTAAGGACTGTTTGTGAGACCTATTTGCTGATATATGTTTTTTTAAATCTCTTTAGAAGCAGTAGAAGTAGATTTCCTGTCAAGTACATTCAGCCACTAAAGGAAAGAATTTTATAAATATAAATTTGGGGGGGTTGATATGAATGTACTGTAGTCTGATCACATACCCCAATTTGAGTGGAATGGTTAAAATTTGGAGACCAAGTTGGATGTAATAGCCTATATATATATATAATTTTAGCGTTCTAAGGCAGAAAGATCATAAGTTCAAAGTCTGCCTGACCCACACAGTAAGTTCCAGACTACATCTGAGCAATCAGATATCAAAGAAGGAGGAGGTGGGGAGGAGGCAGAGGATAAATTCAGGGATGGAGGGAGGGAGAAAAGAAGAGGAGGGCAGAGAGAGAGAGAGGAGAAAAGCAAGAACAAAAAGAAAAACAAAATTGGGAATTTATAAATTCTGGCAGTGGGTTCTCAGATTAGCATCTAAACACCAGATTAATTTTAATTTTATGTTTACGATGGGCCTTCTTCCTTATGTGATAAATGTCTTTCTGCCCTGAAGCTATTCTCACATTGAGCTATGCACAATAGAAAACAAACGGAAGCTTGGGTTCACACTTACTCTGTCATCTTATGGTGAAATGTATCTGAAATGTGCTGCTAATCATGTAAATAGGATGCTTTAGGAGTTATTCAGTTAATACCTAGAATATAAACTTGGTCGTTTGTCTGTTGCATGCATTCTAGAGTTACACTGCAGTTCTTACCACTGTAGTGATGCTGAAGAAATCAAATAATTATTTCAGTTTAATAATGTTAGCCCTGAAGTAATAACTTAAAGTTCATGCAGCTCATTAAATATGTAGATGTTTGGTAAATTTGATATGTTGACTCTAAAATGGAAAGAAATGGAAGACCATGACCCTTAGGAGAAAAAAAATGTAACTGTGTTAAAAATTTGTATTTTGTTTTGAGGAAAACCACAAATTTTCTTCAAAGAGTTTGACATTGCATGATTTTCTGAAAATATTAAAATTGCATAATAAAATAAGCCTTATTTTTTTTTCTTTATAAAGATGGGAGCATGTTTTTCAAAAGTATTTGATGGCTGCCCTTTGAAAATTAATTGTGCAACATCCTGGATACACCCTGATACAAAAGGTACGATTTCTGAATTATATATGTGTATATACCTCCTATAAAATATTTATTGTAGGGAAGGTCTTTATAATTAGTGAATTGAAGTTGTTAACTTTAAAATTATCACCTTAGATACTAAATGATATAGGAACCTATGACGAACTAATTACTTAGGTAGGCTTTGATTGAACATTAAATTGAACAATGTATAGGACTTGTTCTTGAGAGGAAGCTAACGAGCTGTCACAGCCATCATGTTCTTAGTTTGTAAGGATGAGACGATCCATAACGAGCCCTTGAAGTCCACAGGCAGTGGGCGGTGTTGTTTCAGTCTCAATGCTCTCGGCTGTATAAAACTTGTTAACAACAACAGCAAAAGAACCACACTAAAATATTTAGGAGTAAAGGGGCTTTGTGCTCATAGCTTAGCTTGGGGACACGAGAGGGCATGCATGAGGAAGCTGTAATTCAAGACCAGTCTGGGGTATACTGGGACTCTGTCTCAAAAAAGAAAAAAAAAAATCAGGAAACTTATCCATATTTCTGTTTCACTGCCTCCACCATTTTAGTTTCTCCAATCTAACATTCAGTTTAAAATTCCACATCAGTCCTTTTGGATTGATTCATGCATCCACGTTCAGGAAGATGACACTTACATCTTCCCAGGATTTGTGGGGAATGTTGGTGCCTGTGTCCTTCAGTGCGGGGACAGTCCCTTACTTCCTGTCTGTTTCATACTTAACCTTCCTCAGAGTAAGAATCAGTCTTCTCTTCCAGAAACTCGGGTTCTTTTTAGTGGTAATGGTATTTAGAAACCAACATCTGAGCAAGAAATATGTTCATTATTTGTGCTTTGTCATGGCTTATTTTTGATGTATATTTGAGTATTTGGAGTGACTTGCAAAAATGCACCGCAATAACAGCAATTTAAAATTCAGTTGAGAGGTAGCATGAGAGTGAGATCTTACACAGTATATATTTACCTTTTAAAACATGGGAAAGAGACATGGTGCATGGATGTTAGAAGATGATTGTGAATGTGTGGCCAACTCATGCTAACTATCACTACATATAGCCCTTATCTGAGCAAACAATTACAGAAAGTGATAATCAATTCTACTAACTTGCTATTATAGATCAGTATATTATTTTTGGAACTGAAGATGGTATTTACACATTGAATCTTAATGAGCTACATGAAGCAACTATGGAACAGGTAATAAGAATTTTAACTTACAGAATTAGTTTGAGCAAATTGGACAAAAGTGTCATAGTTTTGAGTCTGTTTTATGAGGTCTAGTCTTAATTTTTATGGTTTAAATATTTAAAGGGGTAACATGCTGCTGTCTTCATGTCTGTGTTGGTTTTGTTTTCTCTTACAGTTTTGATAATTTTTACAAAGAAAGAATTTTATAGTACTATTTGTTTTGTTTTGATAGTGCTGGGGATCAGGCTTAGGGCCCTGTGCATTGGGAAGTCCATGCTCTGCCCGAGTCACTTCCCCAACAACACTTCTTCACTGTGGGAGACTCGGGGGCAGGGTAAGAGGAGAGAGTGCAAGCCTTCTGTTTAATAATCTTCTTCTTCCCTTCAGTTGTTTCCACGGAAGTGTACATGGCTCTACGTCATCAATAATACACTGATGTCATTATCAGGTATGCATGATGGTGAAAACCATAGGCAAGCAGAAAAATGTAATTTTAGTGTACACTGTTTGACTAGGCCATTTGTTGTTTGAGAAAGAATCTAGTCTTCTGTGAGGGCTTCATTTCCCAGCTCCCTTCCTGCATCTGGATACCAAGGGAGGGGAACAGGGTGATTATGTGCTCAGCCCATTTCCTTCCACAACTTCTACCATTGCTGGCTGCACTCTGCCTCCCTTTGAATGTTACCAATGTAGCTGGAGGAAGCAGAGGGACAAGCTGTCTCCTTTCTCCATGAATTCTAACAAACCACCCACTCTTAGCCTCAATTTTCTTAATTATCAAAATAGGACACTGGCATTAAAAACAACAAAAAACATCAAGAGTCTAATGAAGTTGTTGTGAGGCTTAAGTAAAATAACTGCCCAGTGCTAAATTATAAAAGTTTTATACAGATGTTCTAGATCAATATAAAGTACCTTACACTGGTGCTTTAAAGTCGTCTCATCCAGGGGTCTGGGGCGATAGATCAGTAGAGTACTTTCCAGCAAGCATTAGGACCTGTGTTCTGTATCCAGCATCCATGTAAAGAGCCAGGTGTGGTGCACACTTGTAATTCCAGTAGTAGGGAGGCAGAGGCAGGAGGTTCCTTGGGCTCACAGCAAACCTAGCCTGGTAGGTGAGTTCCAGACCAGGAGGCAAACCTATCTCATAAACAAGAGAGACACTGACTGAAGAACAGCATTCAATATTTACTTCTAGCCCATTCAACACATGGATCATATACATACACAGGCATACAAAGCTTATCTAAACAGGGTGATTCCAGAACAACCTGTTCTGATTTTAGCATTGTCAGGGGTTTTTGGTAGCTGGTGGTAATGAAAAGACTGGGTATGTTACCATATCTTTAGACTTTTGTCTTGTAGTTCTTATCCAGTCTTACTCACTGTTCTGCTGCTGTGAAGAGATAACATGGCCAAACAACTCTATAAAGAGAAAGCAGTCATCTGAGGTCTTCCATACAGTTTCAGAGGTTTAGTTGATTATCATCACGGCAGGGAGCATGATAGCATGCAGGAAGGCACCAGATCAGTAGCTGAGGGCTACATCCAGGAGACTAGGGCTGGCATAGGTAATAAGGCCAAACCGACTAATCCTTCTAATCCTTTCAAATAGTGCCACTCCCTAATGACTAAGCTTTCAAATAAATAGATGAGCCTATGGGACCTATTCTTAGTTAAACCACCACACCCACCAAACAGTATTACACATTAGACTTACATATCTACCTGGAGGCTAACTGATTGATTTCATTTGTAGATACAAGATATCTAATTATTATTTCTCCCTAGTGGAGATTCTTCAGGAATCTATATTTGAGCTAATAACAATGTTTATGAAAAATAGTCTTTGTCTGTAAATGACTTGTAAGAAGCAGAGATTCTTTAAAGCAGTGGTCTAATATAGTGTCTCAGCTAGGGTTTTATTTCTGTGAAGAGACACTATGTCCAAAGTAACTCTTAAAAAGGCTAACATTTATTTGGGGGTAGATTACAGTTTGAGAGGTTTAGTCCATTATCATCATGGAGGGAAGCATGCAGCTTGCAGGCAGACATGGTGCTAGAGGAGCCATGAGTTCTACATCTTGATCGAACACAGCCAGGAGGATGCTCACCTCCACACTGGTGTAGCTTGAGCTAATATATGAGACCTCTGAACCCACCTCCACAGTGACACACTTCCTCCAACAAGGCCACACCTCCTAATAGCACCACTCCCCGTGGGCCAAGCATTCAAACACATGAACCTGTGGGGGCCATATTTATTCTAACTACTACATATAGTTCCTTGTGTTATGGTGACCTTGAACCATAAATTATTTCTGTTGTTACTTCATAACTATAATTTTGCTACTGTTATAATGTAAATATCTGTTTTCCAATGGTTTTAGGTAACCTTTGTGAAAGGGTCGTTCTACCCCCCAAAGGAATTACGTGTAGCCCACCAGTTGAGGACTGCTGCTCCCAAGAGTACTTAATCTCTTTAGTTTTAATTATGATTAGCCTGTTATTTTTTATTTTATTTAGTAAATATTGATATATTACTCTTGTGAAAAGAAACAGGCCCAATTCTATTTGAGTGACTTCTAAGGTTTTTTATTTTTTTTAACCAGACTTAATTCACTTGATTTTTCTTACATAAAAACCCTTATGGAGCCACAGCAGGAACATGGTCCTCTGAACCAGAGTGGGGTGTGTGTTTTCACTGATGGTCAGTGAATTCTTGAGAGAGAGACTTGGTGAGCACAGTCTCTTTCCAGGTCTTCGGCCAAGTAGCTGTAGATCTTGGAAATGACATCAAAGGTGAAGTTCCCAGGGTGGCAGTGCAGCCCCTCACTGATATGAAACAACCATCCATACCCTCAAGCACCAGCAGTTTCTCGGGCACAGGAACAGGGATGATGCAGGGCTTCTGGGAGCAGGGCTGAGGTGCACCAGCACAGAGCCACAGCAGCCTCTCCCATCGCATGAGATGGTGTGGGGTTTGCCTATCCTTTCCCCCAAGTACTCTCTGGACAGGGAGAATGTGAAAGCTCTGCCAACATGTTGGCCCCTCAGACAGCAGTGGCTAACCTCCTGGAGCAGGTAACACCAAGACCAGTGTGACCATTATAGTCCCCAGTAGTGACAAAAGCCTTGAAACTGGCCCAGTGCACTGCCCAAGTCACTTCTGCTCTGTAGGATCTCTAGAACCTCATGCTTTAGGAATGCTCCAGGAAAAGTCAGGGATCACAGATTTCCTGATGGCAGAGAGAACAGGCAGATTGCCCCCCAAGCCCAGAATTTGACCTTCACGGCAATGACCAGGTGGTCCAGCTCAGTGAAAGAGATCCACTCCTTGTCTTCTACTTTACCTCCATGAGTACCATGGCTCCTAAGATCATAGTGGAAGCGTCCATGGCCTCTCAGTCCCCCAGCCCCTCCCGCTGCATCTGAGCAGCAATTCTGAATTTTGTCAGTAGTATACAATCTTGGCACTTTTATCATTAGACATAATTTTAAAACCATACATAGTACACCTTATACTTTCATAAAATAACATGGGATGGCAGATAATAGTTTTTGATTAGTTCGTTTCTGTAGTACAGTTAGAATTATTCCTAAAACAGAGCATAAGTATCAGAGCAAGTTCGTGTGAATAGGAAGGTAGAGGGAAAAGAAAGGTGCTATGTTGGCCAGAACGTTTCTCTTCTGAGAAAACACAGAAATTGTTGTGAGAATAGATACCTGTGTGGTGTGTTTCTGCTGGTAAAAGGGGTAAGTGTTGTCAGAATCAGATGATGGTTGCGTGTATCTCCCACTAAGCATAGCTACAGTGAGGCATGTGTGGGTTGTACATCACTATACTAAGGCTCGCAGTACTGGTTTATTTCACTTTTTCTCTTACTACAATCTGTGCATTTAAAATTTATTCACAGTTTTAATTGAAGGTGATTCTGTGGATTGCTGATAGATAAATATGTCCCATAGAGATAAGCGCAGCATTGCAGAATTTTCTGTTTTGTCTGTGCTCTTGTAACTGCTTGTGTAACAACGTGTGCACAGTGTTTAACAGTTTCTCTTTCTCCACAAGGATCAAACAGATTACATTTATTCTTCCTAGATTACCTATTTGTCAAACATGTCTAAACAGAGATATCCACTTGCTTAAAAATAAGTTTACCCATTACTTTCAAAATAATACTAACCAGGTCTGTTTGTTGTGTTTTTGCATGTTTTTCTGTTTTGCTTGGTCCTTGAACCTTACTGGACTCATCACCTTAGAAGGTAATTTCACTTTTTTTTCTTTTTGGCAGTTTCTTTTTCTTTTTGTTTTGAGACAGGGCTTTACTATGTAGCCCTGGCTGTCCTGGAACTCACCATGTAGATTAAGCTAGCCTTGAACTGAGAGATCCACCTGCCTCTGCCTCTGCCTTCTGATTCCTGGGACTGAAGGCGTGCACCACCATGCCTGGCTAGTTGCATTTTCTTTTACTTGAAAATTGTTCTTACAGTAAAACTAGCTTTTTTCTCTTTCACAGGAAAAACCTTTCAGCTCTACTCCCACAACTTGATTGCTTTGTTCGAGCAAGCCAAAAAGCCAGGGTTAGCCGCCCACATCCAAACTCACAGGTTTCCCGACCGCATTCTGCCAAGGTACAGTTATAGCCTGCTCGAGCTGCAAGTATGTATGTCTTCTTTTTAAGCTGCCAGTCTTCCTTGTCTAGTGAAACAGCTTCCTTTTCTTAATTTACATGTCATCCAAACTACAGATAATTCATATTCATACATTAAAATTATAAAGAAGTTTGATAACAAATTCTGGATAAAGTCATAGTCTAAGTCAGAGCCCAGGGTGGTTGTTTGTTTGTTTGTTTGTTTGTTTGTTTGTTTGTTTCAAGCCCTTTCCTGTTTGATTCTGGTGGTTCATTTGTCACCATATGGAGGCCACAATATATTCCATTCGTAATGTCTTATATTTTCAGGAAATTTGCCTTAACAACAAAGATTCCCGATACAAAAGGCTGCCACAAATGCTGCATAGGTGAGTAAATGCCTTCTCAAACTAGATGGTTGGAACTTTTAATATCTTTCAAATTACTTGGGGAATCTCATAGTATAAATAAGAGGAGAAGTCAGTATGGGAGGTTGGCCAGCTGTGGATTGCATCATCCACACAAACCCCAGACTACTGCAAATTCAGCAACTGCTGGGAGGACTCCAGGAGTCACTGACAGGTGTGATACCCACGGTCGTGATTACAGGATAGAGCACAGCTGTGTGAGGAAGAGCAGGAGGCAGAGCGCAGGGCTGCCAGGCATGGTGCTGCTGCAGTATAACATCACTATTGTGTGATATGGTTGATGCAGTTACTGGGTGAAAGACCAATATGAATTGTTGTAGACTGGAGTCAAAGATGGTCCGGAAAGATGGATTGATACATGTATTGATTCTCATCACATTCTGCTGGAGTTTCCTCATGCCAGCAACTGTCTTCATTAAAAAAATAAATAAGTCACAAGCTGAGTGAAATAGTGCACATCTTGTAATCCCAGCACTCGAGCGGCAGAGGCAGGGGCCTCTCTGTGTGTTCCAGTCGAGTTCCAGACCAGCCAGAGCTACACAGTGAGACCCTGTATAGAAAGAAAAGTCACTTGGCTTTTAGGTGAATGTCATTGAACTGTTACTTTACCTAAGCTAATTATATTTTCTCACCAAAAGAAATTCAGTAATGTATATGTGGCTAGGATTTTTCTTTTTTCTTTCTTTTCAGTTAGAAACCCTTACACAGGACATAAATACCTCTGCGGAGCTTTGCAGTCTGGGATTGTTCTGCTTCAGTGGTATGAACCCATGCAGAAATTCATGTTGATAAAGGTACATATGGCTTTACATTTTCCTTGTTGAGAAAGCACTGTGCATAACTACAGTCGGCTAAAGCTGTAATTACTACTATTAGGGACAGCTCCTTGACAGTAAGTAGGAAGTGTGTGTGTGATGTTTTATGTTCTTAGTAATATCTTCTCTGTAACTCGCTGTTACTTAATAAGCTTCTGGAATCATCACAGCCACAGATATTAATGTGGCCAGTCCTCTTAAGTTTATCTGACCAGCACTTTTACTCATTATCACAGAGAAGCGAGCTTTTATAGAACAAGGCAGGGTAAGGACCAGCCTTTCAGCTGACTTCATACAACCCAGTTTGAACCGGAGATTTCCACATTTCTCTTGTTTGTCTGTTGCAGCATTTTGATTTTCCTTTACCAAGTCCACTGAATGTTTTTGAAATGCTAGTGATACCAGAGCAGGAGTACCCCATGGTATGTGTGGCTATCAGCAAAGGCACAGAGTCAAACCAAGTAGTTCAGTTTGAGACAATCAACTTGAATTCTGCATCTTCCTGGTTTACAGAAATTGGTGCAGGTGAGTGGTTTTCACTTTATGTTATGTTCATGCTTTTACCTGTATCAAAGACAGAAGCTTAAGTTCAACTATTGTGGGCTTCTAATAAAAATGTAAGCATAGGGACTGGAGATATGGCTCTGATTAAGAGCACTGGCTGCTCTTTCAGAGGACCCAGGTTTAGTTCCCAGCACCCACATGGCAGCTCATGACTATCAGTAGCAGCTATTGCAGGGGATCCAACACTCTCATTCAGACAAATGCAGGCAAAACATCAATGAATATAAAACACAAATAAATTATTTGAAAATAAAAATAATGTAAGCATAATTTTCTAAGTAAAAAACTATATACATTTCTAAATAATAATAAATTATCTACATATAATTTGTGATCTCCATTTACCCAAGGGCCTTTTTTTCCTTTTCTTTCTTTTTCTTTTTTTCTTTTTTCTGTTCGTTTGTTTATTTATAGGTGATACACATACCTGTGGAAGTCAGTTCTCTCCTTCCACTGTGTGAGTTCTAGGAATTGAACTCAGGTTGTCAGGTTTGACAGCAAGAATCTCATTGCCCTCTTGCCCAAGGAAATTATAAATAAATTAATTTTACTGTAGAAGTTTTAAATAGTCTTGATATTTAAAAATCTGAGCTGTTGACAGGCTGGAGAACTAACACCATGGTTAAGAGCTGGCTGCTCCTTTAGAGGACCCAGGTTCAATTCCCAGCATCCACAAAGTGGCTCACAGCCATCTGTAGTTCCAGAGGGTCTGATGCCCTCTTCTGGCCTCTGTGGGCACCAAGCAACACATGTGATACACAGGTACATATATAGGCAAACATTCATACACATAAACAAAATAGCTTTTTAAATTTCAAGTCTGAATTGTTACCAGTTTGTCTTTGGGCTTACTAAATAAATAATTATGTTTTATAATATATTCTTAATTTATTTGATTACCATCTCTCATTGAAAACATTCCCTTTTGTCCCTAGCCTGTTCTGTCTTTTCTCTCCACCTTTACCCTCAGTGGATGGCTCTGCAGACATGGATAGAAGCTTCTGAAATGGGAGCTTTTCCATTGGAATATGCATTGTTCTTTTTATGATTGGCTGGTTAATGTAAGAGTTTATCACTCGTGTCTCAGTGAAAACTCTGGTAGGACGGGGAAGTTTTTCTCACAGTTTAAGTTTGGAAAAAGCAGGCAAGAATACATTTTCCAAATGAGAACAGTACCCAGTTCCACTAACCAATAGGGCCATGCACATCAGTGCTGTCGAGAGATACCGTCTCATGCCTGTCCAAACAGCTGTCACCAAAGAGATGGAACAGTAGCAGAGGATGCAGAGGAGCTGCTCAAGGGATGCAGTCACACAGCCTTTATGGAAAACAGTTCGGGGCTTTTCAGAAGGCTGCTGTATAACCCAGCAGTGTCTCTTCTGGATGTGTACTCTGTTCCAGAGAAAATCAGTATACTGGAAAAAGGTCTGCACACACATATTCATTCTAACATTCTCCACAATAACCAAGATAGGGAAACGAATCACCTTAGATTGATGTCAGCAGATGGATAGGTAAAGGAAACATCGTGCCTCTACACTGTGGTGTATTACTCAACCATTAAATCATGTGAACCTGTGCTGGGTGTGATGGCACATGCCTGTCCTCTCTGTACTCACGAGGTCAAGATAGGGGGACAGTTAGCCAGGCCACCCTGGGCCCCATACAGAGACTTCACTACCGGGGAAGAATACGAATGAAGCTAACTTGACTGTGGGTAACATGTTAAATGAAGTGTTCATCGAAGGACAGATGCTGTGTGTCCTCACCCGAAGATACTGAAAGCAATGATCCTTTCAAGCCAAATAAGGTTAGGTTCCTCAGGAAGCCTGCATGGTTGAGAGTCCGGGGCTGTGTTTGGGCAGGTAAAATGATTTCTGATATTCTATAGCCACACAGCATAGCTGGTTAACAACAGTTAAATCTCTGTTTCAAAAGTGCTACCAGTGAGGACTTTGCAGAATTAATTTTTGAAATCTATGGAATACATGAGCTGAGAGGGAATCCTCCTTTTCCTGTTTGTTGTGCTGTGTTGTTTTGTCATCTGTTGGCCCTGATTCATTAGGCCACTTTTAAACAGAAGTCAAACAAACTTTACTTGGGGCATTTTTATCACAGACCGCTGTTACAGTCTTCACTCCATTCTGAGGAACTGTGTTACAAGGATTGCACTGATGCTTCTTGACTTTAATAACTTACATTAAATATCCTGACTGGGAAAGCTAACACTGATTCCATATTGATGTCACTTTTAGAGTAAGACTAGCATGTAGCTCACTTGTAGTGTCTGTGACTAACATGCGCAAGGACTGTGTTTGATCCCACACATTATAATGAAAACTCCGTGTAACCCGGAGATGTCCTAGTTTCATAACATGATTTTGTAGTGTAGCCATGTTGTGGTTACCTAAAAAGTAACACTACCACCATAGTCAGTTTCAAACAACAAGCCTGATGTATGAAAATGGCTCACAAATTTACTGAAAATTTAACAAGCTTGCATGCCCTCAACTGTGAATTCCTGCTTTGTGGACCAAGCTGTAACTCCCAGTAAGGGAAAGGGAGGAAGCCACTTGCAGCTGTTTTCCCCTCCCCCTTCTTGGTGGTCTTACTGGTGTCTGCAGTTTGGGTATGTGCCTCTGTGAAGTTCCTGTCACCAGAGTAAGCAGCCGAAATACAAATGATTCTTGGTTAGGCAAGTACCACAACAAGTGGCTATGGATCAGTTTATTAAAAACCGTGATTGGGCCAGGGATGATGGTGGTGCATGCCTTTAACTTAAGTATTCTGGAGTCAAGAGTGGGCAGTGCTGCATAGTGAAAGCCTGTCTCAAAAAGAATTGAAAGTAACAACAACAAAAACCCAAATGATTTTTATCCCATAGTCCAGCATTGCGATTGTTACATAGTTAACCCATAGCAATTCACACCCTCTTTCTTCAGGATGGTGTGTGGAAGGTTATACTTCTTTATGCTAGAAATTTATTGAGTCCTCTTTTGAATCTCAGAATTTGAGTTGGTTTTTGAGATTTTATTATGGTCTAGTGCCTCAGGTGTCATATTATATCCACCTTTATTATTGTCCCAGCTAAAATAAAAACAGTCCAATAAGTACTTCTTGAGCAACCCAGGCCTCTGAGGTTATCACCAGCTCGCCCTTGCACGTGGGCGATGCGCCCTTTCAGCCCAGCTTTCATCCTCGTTAGGCTTTGTTTTTATAAGTAATCGCTGATCCAACCCAGCTATGCTCGTTGTTGAACCAAGAGCCTGTAGCTGGCAAAGCTGTAGCCTTGAAGTGAGCTGTTCTGGGAGTCCTTCCTTTGCAGATTCCAACTTATTACTGCATGATCCTTGACTCCCAAGGTAGCCCTCAATATGGTCACTTCTTGGTATTTGTTGAGTGAGTGAACAAACATAGATTAGCTGAGAAAAACTGCATCTGGTGTGCTGCCTGGAAGATGCTTCATTGGTTGTCTTGACAAGTCTGCCTGCCATTCTGCTCAGTGGTATGGCTGTAAGGGACCACGTGCCTGCTGGCATGGTATGGTTAAGGGGAAACTTTTTATCACAGATATGAGAGAGGAAATAGAGGCATCTGGGAGAGTTTGTTGCAGAGAGAGAAAGAAATAGACTGACTATGCCAGCAGACTAGGCATGGCCAGGCTGTCTGCAGGAGAGGGGAGATAAGCAGCGGGTAGAAGATAGAGAAAGCCTAGTGAGAAGGCCACCAAGAGTAGCAGGGTTAGGAGGAGATTGAGGAGCTGCAGGGAGGGAAGCCCTGGAGCTGGAGAAGTTTAGGGGAGGAGGGGAGAAGGTCTGGGATGCCAGCATGGACTCTGAAGGTTGTAACAGGACTTGTGGTACTGAGGGGTTCTGGAAGTCAGCACTAGCTTTAATATGCTCATGAGCACCACAGGTAGCCGTATGTCCCTTTTGCCAAAGGTAAGGGAAATAACTCCTTTTGGTAGATGAGAACTGGTTTCACAAGTTCCTGAGGAATGCTGGCTTCTATCTAACTGCCAGAAATCCACCTGTATGTATACAGGTTGAGCTCATTTCTGGATATTTGGACTGCCTTTGGGGTTTGGGAAAGTGGAGTTTCCTTTAGACTTGACAGATTCCATCTCTTGTGAGTGCAGAACAAAATCTAACCATTGTGCGCATGTATCTTCCTTTCCTTCCTTCCACATACCTGCCCTTATCACCATCATGATGGCCCACCTTCCTAGAACAAAAGTAGTAATTAAAGCAGTACTGCGTTTTTAGCTCAGGTATCTGTGTCAGAGCTGAGCTGACATTTGTTCTTCTAAACTGAGGTGTGTACTTTCATGACAAGATACAGTTTTCACCATATTTCAAAGTGTAAATCACAGCGAGATTCAGACTGCTGGTTTTCTAAGCCCTGCTTTACTGAAGTATGTTGTTAACTGTAACCTTTCCCCACTTAGGCAGCCAACAGCTGGATTCCATTCATGTGACGCAGTTGGAGAGAGATACTGTTTTGGTGTGTTTAGACAGTGAGTATTATTTTGAAGTTTATTTTGAGTGTACTACTTGATAAAGCAACCCCTTTAGTGAAATTAAACTGTTATTCAACCCTTCCTCTTTAAGTGACCTGGCTGCATTGACTGAGCAGCTAAATCCACCACAGCAAGAGGCTGAGCTGCTGTCCCTAGGTGCTGTCCTTTCATTTTACACTTGGCCCACATGGAGACATTAGCACCGTCAGCCTCTTGGGGAATCTCTTTATAAACTGTCCCTTCTCACTGTAATTATGAGAGTAGGTTACATTAAACTGTGATCACAGAGTCACTTAACATGAACTTCTGGAGGCTTGTCAGGTCTAAAGCACTCAGGCCTCTGACACTTGCACATGCTACATGATCTGTCATGCAGGAGACGTGTTATTAATGTGAGCATGTTGCATTGTAAGCAGGAAAGGCAGGAAAGAATAGCTTAGCAGGCGTGTTTCTTGGATTCTGCAGAGGAGGCACCCTGGTCCTTAAAACCCATCTTCTTTTTCTGCAGTAAGTGTTATAGACTGTACCTAGTCTTGGGATTGTATATGGAACATGTCTATACAGCTTGCTTTTGGTGGCTGAACTACCTGTAAGATCATCTAATAACACAGCTGAGTAACCCAAAGCCTGTGGGGCTTCGCTCCTTGCCATCCCTTGGTGAGGGACTTGACTCTAAATACCTGTCAGGTAGGAGTGTTATGAAGTTATCTATAAGGAAACTGTATCTTTTTTTTTAATCTTAATAGATACAAAGTGTGTTATTAGCATAACACATAAGCATGACAAGAATCCTGGAGGGCTAAGGCCTTCCTGCTAAATCCTGCACGTCTGTGAATCATCAAAGGAGACCTCATTCTCATTTTTCATCTCTGTGTCATATATTGTAGCGGTCTTAAGAACACATTGGTTAACAAGACTCCCTGCTTCCTGATGAAACCAATTTCTGTTTTTAAAGACATAGTTTTGAAAACTATGTTCCCTGCTCTGTGATTTCTAAGTTAGTTTTGGTAGAAAGCAGTGGAGACGGGCTTGTAATCTCAGACTGTGGGAGTGGACAGATGAAAATTGAAGTGGTTTTTGTTTTGTTTTTTTTTTTAAGTCTCCTTGAACTTATGGGAAGAAGTCAGAAAGCAGGGGGAAAGAGACCACATTGTCCCCATCCCAGACCTTACTACCCTTGGGGAGAACTGGCCCACATGCCCTGACACACTGGGCTCCTATGGCCAGTCAGGAACTGCTGCAAGTGCTACTTGATAAATACAGTGGGATCTATGAGGGAAAAATCACAACTTATTGCTAAATATTTAAACATCAAAGTAACCACTTTTAAAAAATGAGTATATCCAGTATATGCTCTGTAATTTTAAAAATTGCGAAGGCCCACCTATTGAAAAAGGGCACTATAACTGTGTCTTTTAAGACATATTCATGGTGATTCATTACTATGCATTCCCAAACCAAGAAAAATCTTTAAACTTTATTAAGAATATTATTTGATACCTATATAAAACACATTATATTTATTTTAAGAAATTTTTGTCTCCAGTCTTGACTTTTTTTTTTATTTCTTTTAAGAATTTGTAAAAATTGTAAATCTACAAGGAAAGCTGAAGTCCAGTAAGAAGCTGGCATCTGAGCTCAGTTTTGACTTCCGAATTGAGTCTGTAGGTAAGTCCTCTCCTGTTGCTGACCTTGGATAACTGGTGGCTTTGGTCATGCTCTCCCTGAGATGCATAAAGTAGCAGCTGGCTCATAGCTCTGCACCAAAACACTGTCATTGCACCAATTAGTTCGTGTGACGAGTGCTTTCTAAGTTTTCAACGAATTTCATTTTGATTTTTTTATTAGTTTCATACATGTAATTCACATTGATCATGGTACCCTCCCTGGGTATTGGTTTTTTAAATATGCTGAATATTCCCAGCGTTGTACCAAGTGAATTACACTTTTTCCAACTCTTTCCAAGTCGTGCAGGTGCTAGTGTCAAGTGACCATTGTGTCAAGCACACTGTAATTCTTTAGCACTAGAATCTAGTTTCTCTGTGTTGTTGGCTGCTGTTTTAGATCTGTTTCTATATAGATAGTAAGTTTGGGGCTGAAGTGATGCTTTCAAGGATAAGAGCACTACATAGCCACATGTGGCTGCTCAGGACTGTCTGAAACCTAATTCCCTATTCTGGCCTCCAAGGACACACATGTGATACACAGACATGCATGCAGACAAAGAACCCATACACATAACTAAAATGTACACCTCTGGACTGGAGGACGACTCAGCACTTAGAAGCACTTGTTGCTCTTGCAGAGGACCTGAGTTCAATTCTCTGTGTTCATATTATAGCTCACAACCATCCAAAACACCAGTTCCTGAGGGTCTAACAGGTACACATGTGGTACACATTCATGAATGTGTAGGCAAAACATTCACACACATTCTAGGCAGTGGTGGCACACACCTTTTTTAATTTCAGCACTAGGGAGGCAGAGGCAGGTGGATTTCTGAGTTTGAAGCCACCCTGGTCTACAGAGTGAGTTCCAGGACAGCCTGAGCTACACAGAAAAACCCTGCCTCCAAAAACCAAAGCAAACAAAAAACAATAGCAACAAAAAATTTTCAAACATAAAATAAATCTTTTTTAAAAATTATAAAGAAATAGTAAGTTTCCCTGAGGCTGTAGAAAGGAATTTGTTGTTTTGGATTGCTTCCTTGTTAGTATTTTACTTTATATTGCTCATTAATTTTATGATTTTTTTTTAAAGCATTATAGGGTTGGGTGTGGTGGTACAGGCTTTTAAACCCCAGCACTTAGCCAGCAGAGGTAATTGGTTCCCTGTGAGTTCAAGGTTTCAGGCCAGACTGGTCTACAGAGCAAGTTCCAAGCCAGACTACTAGTGACTACTACTAGCCAGTTTCAAACGACAATGGAATTTCTAGTTTTATCTCTTTTGCTGGTATGTCAGCATTTTCCCCAGGAGAATAGAAATTGTGAGAAAAATATGATAGATCCAAATATTTATTATACTATAAAAGAAATATATATAATAGTTACCTATATATGTCTTTTTAAAGTGTTTCTGACTAGTTAAAAAACTTTATGGATTTTTTTTGTTGTTGTTGTTGTGGGGGGTTTGTTCTGGTTTTGTTTTTGTTTTTTTATTCTAACCTGAGCTCATATTAAACTAGAATTTTCTTGTAGCACTGTGGGTAAGGGGCACAGGCCATAGCTTGCTCAGTGGTAGTACATGAGGACTCTGGGCACTATCCTAACACCAAAAATGAATAAAATATGTTGTGCTCTTGTGTAATAGATGATAAAAAAAATACCTTGCTTGTGATTTAAATTTAACTCGCTGAAGCAGAAAACCTAAGCTGTCTGTAGAGTCAGAGAGAAGGGATTTTGGAAGCTTGTTTCTTCCTTACCTGTTGTACACTGCATACTGCATGTCAGGCTCTAGGACATAATGTCCTCAGGGATGTGTCGTAGATCCTTGGGCCTCTTAGCTGAGATGTACTGATGTCACATGTGCCCCATTATCTGGAGAACTTTTATTGTTGCACAGAAGTCTCCTCCTAGATGGCCATCACCTCATTTCAGTAAACCTTAAAATGGTGACAGGGATCCTCTCAAAGACCCTTGAAATCATGTCTCGAAAACAAGACAAGTAACAGGATTCCTCATTTGTCACATCTAGTAAAACATGTGATCTGTTATCGTCAACTACTTCTGTCTCTATTAGTCTGAGTTACGTCCCGGACATTCTTGCGCTAACCACATCCTTGTTATTCTGATGAGATGCATGGATTCCACACTTGTCTGGCACACACAAACCCTCAATTTGCTCCCTAGCACAAGGAAAAAGAAAAGTAATTTTGAATCTTTTCCACCATTATATGTATTTATGTTTGTGGTTTTCTAATTATAGTTACAAAAATAATCAATAAAATACTAAGATGACTGAGGTCATAATATTCAATGTGATTAAATTTTGGGTTATAAAGTGGGTGTGTTTTTAAAATTAATTTTATAAGAAAATATGAACATAAAAGTTTGATAGCTACTTGAATAACTTCTAAATCCAAACACCCACTGCATGTTTTTACTGTTTTAATCAGTTAAAACAGAAGATATAGCATAAGGAAGAGAAGTCAGTGGCCAGTACTCAGCCTGTCAGAAGTCAGCCCATGTTGGAGGAATGTCTGCAACATACGTCTTTGAAGGCTGCGTAACTGTCTCAGTAAATTACTTGAGTTTAAACACTCCTTAGTCACAAAAATGTTGAGCAGTAATGGTCTAGACAGTGGAATTTTGCCCCAAGCACTTGAAAAGCCTTACATTATCATTTGTTAAAAAGTTAGGGAGGCGCCAGAAAGATGGCTCAGTGTGCAGAACACAGGCTGCAACCAGAGTTTGCCAGCGTCCAGCTTTCAGACCTGTAACTCCAGTTCCAGGGGACCCCTTCCCTCTTGTCTCTTTAGACACCTGCATGCACACATATCACACACACAAACATATACACAATTAAAAGGAAAGTAAATCTTTTCTTTAAAAAAAAAGCAAAAAAAAACAAAACAACAACAAAAAACAAACCAGTACAGGACCTCTGTTGTCTTCCATTACATGTCCCCTCGTCTTTCTCAGTGTGCCTTCAAGACAGCGTGTTGGCTTTCTGGAAACACGGGATGCAGGGTAAAAGCTTCAAATCAGATGAGGTAAGTTTGTGCAGATTACCTCTCTTGATTCCTACCCCAGATTTTTAATGGTGAAACGTTTGTATTTTTTTCATTTCCTCTCTGCGTCACGTGGCTTTGCTTAGTGCCTTTGATGCCGTAGTATGGCAGGATGCACATCTGCGTTCTTTCTTCCTATATGTTCACTTTGATACTTTGGTTTCAAATTCCCAGTAACCACGAGGAACTCCTAAATACTTCCACAACTTTATCCCTTTATTTTATAATTCGCAAGTATAGTTGCTAGCATTGCTGCATTTTTCAAAATTTAGTGGATATTTTTCATAGCCACTGTTGTTATAAATAATATCTAAGACCTGTTCTATTATGTTCCAGGCAGTTTGCAAATATTAGCACATTTAAGGCTCAAAATGATCCAGTGAAGTAGGCACATGACTAGCTAAATGGCAGAGCCTAGATTTGGAAGGTCTACAAGAGTAACTTTCAGTAGAGATGATCAGGGTGCCTTTATGAAGGGGGTGGAGTTGGCTCCCTCCCTGAGGGACAAATCCTACCCTGATGGAAGCATTTCCCAGTTGTCTAATTCTTTTACAACAAAGGCTCATAAATCCATGGAACTGCCTGAAAGTATGTGATCTTCTTGCTTTTGAATTTAGTTTATCTGTACCCTTATTTATATTTAAATAAATATTTATACTACAAGAAAAATAATGTCATGAACCAGCGGTCATTGATGTGCTGGTTTATTTACTGACCCAGGTCACTAAATGTCACCAGGTCCCTATGTTTAATGAAATCTGTAGTCCTGCACACTGCTATGGTGCTAACTGTACTATTGTTGTTTCGTGTTCAAAACAGGCTTTCCCTAGAGTCCATGTGTGTGGCCAGCACACCAGCATGCTAGCTGTCCTCACACTCTGTACTTTGTCATTTCCATTTTTGGGAAACTCAAACCCAGGGTCTCAGGCATGTGAGGAAGGGGCTTTCTGCTAACCCACATGCCCAATTACAAGTTGCTGCCTGCTTGTAACGCATCTCACTTTACTCTCTCACCTCTGTCTTTCTGCTGGTATTCTCATACTTTGACGTACACCTAGTTAAACTTTAACCTCTGCCATAAAGTAACGTTCCACAATAATTAGAGTATTTCAACTTCATACCATGAAAATTAGCACCCTGGAGTATACAGCGCCTAAATTGTTTGCAGATTGACATTCAGTATGTCTTTCCAGATAGACTACAAGTTCCAGTTAACAGACTTTTTACACTAATCATAGCAATCTTAATTTGAGTTCCCCAAGAGCCAGACCAAGATAACAATCCAAGTAGAGGTACTTAATCTAGGAATAGATTCTAGAAAACAAGTGATGTAATAAGACACAAAAATAGAAAGAGGAGGAACATCAAAAGCATATGCACGTAAGTGGACAGCTGTCTGCCTTGCAGCAGGGCTCAGTAGGGAGCGCCAGTGATGCCGACCACACCTTAGAGGCAGCTCTGTGAAGAGAAGAGGGAGGTGGAGTCGTGTGCCCGCTGGCTGTCCGTTTTGGATAGAGGCTGCACCACAGTCCCCACTTTTTGGGAAGTACTTGCGCATAGTGGTTCAGCTCTGGAAGACTGCAGAAAGCAGCAGGTGTCATCTAACGCTGATGACCCCCGGGCACTGGGGAAGAGCAACAGGGTGCCCCCTCGTAACACCTCACTGACATGGAAGGCTTACATGACCTTCTTGTAACTTTTAACCTCTGGCCTTGGGGGGAGGAGGGGCTCCCCAACAATAAAAGAATTCAAATGCATATCACACAGAATTCTTACAGAAAGCAGCTGACCCAGACTATATGTATGCTTTGTAAATACTGGCCCATTTCTACTGATAGGCAGTCAAAAAACAAGCATTGAAATTGATTTGGGGAATCTTTGAAAAATTATTTATTCCCTTTCATTGCTATAACTAAGTGATTGTTAAATTACTGTGTAATTTAATTTCTGTGTAAGCAATACCAGGGCCACAGTGTTACTGACGGTCATTTTCGTCCACAGGTTACCCAGGAAATTTCAGATGAAACAAGAGTTTTCCGCCTGCTGGGATCAGACAGGTTGGTTGTATTGATTTAATTATGTGAAAGTAGCGAAGATCAAACTCTTGACTAAACTGTCAGCCCATTACAATCAAAAGTCTTAGCTTATCAGCTTAGAGAGATGATAGTGTTGAGAGACTGAATAATACGTAGTCTCTTGGGTTGCCAGTCTTTTCAGGGTTAGATGCTTTGAGAGACAGTTACACTCGGCCAAGACAAGATGTGAAGACAGGGAGTGCTCACACCCATTTGACCAGACAAGACTTCTCATCCCTTTATTCCCACTGTGTCTTCCTGCTGTGTTTCTTCCTAATAACTATTACATTAACCATCAGATGTTCTGTGTCATAAAAAGCTCACCTTGTCTGGTGAGCATTCTTACTGTAAGGCGTTAGGCAGTCCCATCCAACATTGCTTAAGTGTTAGATTCGAGAGGAAGGAGCGGGAGACTGGGGGTTTAATGACCCTTTGAAGGAAGGCTATTTGAAGAAAGGAGTTTCTGAAAAATGATGAAGAAGAATGGCAAGCATGAGAGTAAGTACTGTGTCCAGAAGCCAGGAGGCAGCAGGAATTGGAGAGGCAGCCGTGCTGCTGGAAGGACTGGCCAGTGAAGTGTGGGGTCTGGAACTCTGAGGATTCTGATGGTAGAACATGACACCTCATGGCTGATGCTTTTCTCTCCTCTCCTTTGCCCAGACTCTTCTCCTTGCCTAACTGTCCTTTGTAATGTCTCATTATTCTGTCACAGTTTGCTCTAAAATTTCATTTTTGAAATGTGACTTCTTTGGCTCATATTCTTGTTTAGGCATCCCCTTGGTTCTTTCATATATACACATAAGTTTTTGTATTTTGTTTTCTCTTTTTTTTACGTTTTAGTATGTCTGTGTGTACACACATGTAGAGATCAGAGAACAACTTACAAGAACTGGTTCTTCTACCGTGTAGGTCCCAAGAATAGAACTTGGGTAGTTCGGCTCCTCAAAAGCCCCCTTGCCTGCCTATATATTAAATAGTGCTTAACTCTGGGCAGGTAGGTAATTCTATTTTTTCCTTCTACATTTCCACAATGCATAAGGTGTGTTTTTATTGCGTAAAATTCACACACAAAATATATTCAGTATGTGTGAACTGTCTCTTCCATTTACCCTTTAGACTTCCTTCTCTGTGTGAATTAGATCTTATTCTATTCTCTTTTTTAAGATTTATTTATTTTTATTTATATAAGTACACTGTAGCTGTCTTCAGACACACCAGAAGAGAGCGTCAGATCCCATTACAGATGCTTGTGAGCCATCATGTGGTTGCTGGAAATTGAACTCAGGACCTCTGGCAGAGTAGTCAGTGCTCTTAACTGCTGAGCCATCTCTCCAGCCTGATCTTATTCTATTCTTAAACCTCTCCTCCTCACCATTCAAATGCTATGGAGTAGCTCTTGATCTCCTCCCTCCTCCCTTTTTCTTTCAGTCCTCTTGATACTTTCCCTGTCTTTACTCCTGGGAAAAGGGAGAGGCGGGCCAGGCAGCACTCCATTCTTTGTCTTAAACCATTTGTTTTCAAAGACCCTGCGCAGTTCACAGGTCCTCTTAGGATCCTGTGTATTCTCTAGCTCTTCTTCTCTTGGTGTAGGCACCTAAAGCATTTGTCACAGCTGTTGTTGGCATAGCTGAGGAAGCATATTTGAGTTCAGTGGGAGTAAGGTGAGACTGTCCCCAACCATGTCAATACTTTATATAAAACAACTGTTGTTGAGCTGTGCTGGAAGTTATGGAGCACACTAATGATTTTGACTGTGTCTTTGTAAGTGTGGAAGGAGCTGGTACTACTGGCTGTGGTGGACACCATGTGAATACTAAAGCTCTTCCTTGGTTTCTTTTAGGGTTGTTGTTTTGGAAAGTAGGCCAACAGAAAACCCTACAGCACACAGCAATCTCTACATCCTGGCTGGACATGAAAACAGTTACTAAGCAACAGAGATGAATTCCAACTAACAAGAAGATGAATGAATATGTTCCATTGAAAGCAAGAGTGTTTTAAGGGAATTCAGTACAGACTTCAGTGTGACTTGCTTTAATTGTTGTGGGTTTTATATCAAATGAACTGTACATTAGGATAGATTTCAGTATTTTCTGTAGCTGGAAACAGCTAGTCAATCTCTTGCCACTGTGTGGTGGTTATATCAAGTTTGCTTAATAAAAGCTATGAGACAAATAGTCCTCTAGTTCCAAGAAACACAGTCCTTTTAAACAAACAAACAAAAAAAAAACAATGTTTGTAACAAGGTGCCATGGTGTTTTTAAATAACTCATGTGATTATCTTGAGAGGGAGTTTAGTGAGCATTATATCATTTTATACCATATCTTACTCCTTCCTACTGAACATAATTTGATAAGAAGTTATCCAACAAGCCTTTCACTTTGACATTGGCCGTTCTGTATGTTTTTGTAAGATAGAATATTTAATCCTTATTTATTAATCTCTTGCTGGAGTGGTGTAATGTTTCTAACTTTTAGCAAAGGAAGGTTGCAGAGCAGCTGAAATTTTTTATAATGTGTGAAATTTTTGTTTACCTTTATAGAGTAGTGCTTTAGGAGTTACTGGCAGTGTGTTTGGGGGTCCAGCACATGCAGTTTCAATTTAACAAAATATTTTATGACACAGTTTCATGCAGGGTTACCTTAAAGGGAATTTGTTTTCAACTACAGATGGTTGTAAGGGCTCATGCAGAAATACTGATGGTGGACAAAAAGCCTTAGCAGGGATGTGTAATGTCTAGGTGTGACTACTGCATTATTGACAAGCAGTATAACATACCTGTGATTTTGTTTTTTACATTAGGGATAATGCATAAGAAATTAATCTTCATATATATCATGATCCCTAATGTTTGGGAGAAATATATTTAACTGCCCATATTATGTATTTTACGTATATTATGCCAAGGGGGAAACTGCAAAGTAATTACACGTGTAATCTTGGGGTTTTCACATACATAGGTATTCATCATGAGTAGGTTTAAGAGGAAAAAAAAAACACTTTAAGTGAAATTGAAATTTCTGATGGGAGAGTATGGTTAAATGATGTTGTTTTTATATTTTTTAAAAAGCCAGTATACTAAAATCAAAAAAGGATAGGGCTATCTTTTAGTTTGTTTTTCTTTTACAATTCTTAGTATTCAGAATTGATGTGTTCTATTGGTACCAGCTGTCTTAATGCATTTATTAAGAACAGTTAGCATTGAGTTAATGAACAGAGGGCTAATAGTAGCAAACTATAGAAATAGTCTGACCACATACTTGACAGGAAAACAATGTACCTATCTCATTTTTAGCAGTTTTATAAAGAACATGTTATCATCTCCACTTTCCAAGTGAGGAATTAAAAGTTTAACAGAGTTAAGCAACTTACCTGTTACATATTGGTTAGTTCTTGAGCCAGACCAAGAGTCCTTCGACTCTCCTCTTTTCACTATGCAATATACAAGTAATAAAATGTTACGCAAATGAACTATAAAGTATTTGTTCTTTAAAGTGGACATATTGGGGTCGGGGCAGCAAGATGCTCATTGGATAGAGGTTCTTGCCATGCAAACCTGACTGCTACCTAACTTTAGTCCCCAGAACCCACCCATGTCAAGGTGGAGGGAGAAAGAATTGACTCCATAATGTTGTCATCCGCCCCCACATGTGTGTGTCTGCACCTTCCACACACACAGTAGTCAAATAGAATGCACATTGGTTGTTTACAAGGGATGTGTTAAGTAGGTCCTCTCATGAGGAATGCTGTGTGCATTAGGTGGCGGAAGGACAAGCCTCAGACTTCAGAAGTTCAGAAACTGCATCCTCTTTTTCTCAGAACTCCCAGCGGCCACCCAACCACGCTATACAAGGTGGCCACTACAAGTGAAAAGACCTAAGAAGGGTCCTGGTGTCCAAGGCCTCCTGCTAACAAGCTGCATGGCTAGAAAACATTACAGTAAAAATGGAAGCTGTGCTGTACCCAGAGCTTGCAGTCAGCCTTCTGTCCGGTGATGTGGAAATTGAGCAGTCAGTTGAGAGTTACAGACGAGAAGGCAGTGGGGAAGGAGAGCTCTTGAGGAAACAAACTGGAAAAGCACAGGAAGATGACATGGCCATGACTCATGAGCAGACACTGCAAGAACTTTTAGAAAGAATATGAGTTCAAGTTGAAAGTTTAGAATATAAAATTAAGGAATTTCTCAGGAAATAGATTGGCAAGTAATATAAATATAGAAGAATTAAAGTTAGGAAAATTAAAGGGAACAAGGGGATGGTATGATTAGATTTGATTTTTTAAGACATTTTAAAAACAAAAAGGTAATAGCTCAGGAGGCTCAACATCAGAGTTTAAGGGGAAAAAAAAATCAATTGCATAGTTCACCAGGTGTGTTGATGCACACCCATAATCCAGCACTCAGGAGGCTGAGGCAGATCATGAGTCTTTTGAGGCCAGCCCAGACTATACATAATGAGAGTCTGTCTCAGAAAACAATGATGCATTTCAAGAAAAGTATCCAAGTTTTGAAGAACATTAGATTCTAGATTAAAGAGTGTACATAAGTCCTGAAAGTTAAACATGGAGGTATGCACACAGAGAGACAGAGACAGACAGAAACATGAGCACACACTACACAAAAGGAATGTAATGAAAAATTTTGGGAGAAGTGAACATGATCAAAACACTTGAAACCTGAAACAAACTATACACTATACACTTGAAACTATACACTTGAAACTATAAACAAACACCAAATCAGATCATGATAGTTGGTTACATAGCAAGGAATACAAACCCATGCCTTCAAGTGTCAACAGAAGCCATGCCTTCAGATGAAGGACCTGCAACCACACCCAGCTTCAGCCACTCGATCTGTCACTTGGACACTGAAAGCATAGGTTGGAGAAATGGCAGCCTCTTCAACCAATGGCACTGAGATATCTGGACATTTACATACAGAGTAAAACTAGATTCTTCTCTCTGCCCTGTTCAGAGAGAAGGACCAAATCAGTTCAAAATAGACCAGAAGCCTGAATCTGTGAAACTCCGAAGGAAAACCTACAGATTACACTTCAATCTACAGGCATAGGGAAGGACATTATGAAAAGGATTTCAGTGGTGCAAAAATGATAGACTTGCTAAGTGGAGTGAAATAAAAAGGCTTCTGTGCAGCCAAGGAAACAATGAAGAAATCATGAACAACAGGAGAAACTTTTGCTAGCTACACCACTAGTGGATTAGTGTCTAGAAATATGAAGGCCTCAAATGCCCAGAAAGTTCATCCAGTCAACGGGGGGGACAGATAAATTGGACAGTTCTTAACAGAAAAAATAACAAAAGCAAAAGTCCTATCAGAGAAAGGCAAATCAAAAACCACACTGAGGGCTAGAGAGATGGCTCAGCAGTTAACAACACTTGCTGCTCTTACAAAGAACCTGGGTTTGATTCCCAGCACCCACATCAGGGCTCACAACCAACTACCTGCAACCCCAGTTCCAGGGGCTCCAATAAGCCCTCAAGTTTTATGTACATACAGGCAAAACATTAATACACATAAAGTAAAATAAATCTTAAAATGTATATGTTGAGAGTCTGTCTTTCTCAGTGGATATGGCTAACAAAACCAATGCTGGTTAAAATCTAGAGGTTTTGCTATAAAACCCTTATATACTGCTTGCTAGAGGGAATACCATCACCTCATGGAGCTTCCTCAAAATGCTGATGTTAGAACCACTGTATGGTCCCACTATATTGCTTCTGGGTGTACACACAAAAATCAGGTTACCAGAGTTAATATGTAATTGTGGCATTACTCACAAGTACCAAAGTTACAGATTCAGCCCACATCTATCATATGGAAAGACAGATGTATGTATACAAATAGAGTTCTAGTTTGTCATAAGATTGAAATTACGTCATGTTTCTGAAAGTATATGAAACTAAAAATCACCGTATTAAGCAAAAATATACCAGAAACGAGACTGTTCATGTAAAAACTCCGACAGTATCTGGCAAGTGTAGGTGTCAGGGTTGTTACCACCAACTTTCTCTAAGAGTATGAACACCCCTTTCTGGTGCCTACAGCCAGGCTCTTCACATAGGTGGGTGGGACACAATTTAAGAACCTCAGAAAGGTTCATGACTGCATATCCTCACAAAATTTCACATGCTACATTAAGTTCTCATCTTTAGGAAATGCAGATACCTAAGAGAGAATGGCACCTGAGCAATTATGAATTAATACAAGGTTCAGTTATGCAAGGATAGTCCTATATACTGGGATTCATACTCAGCAGGAGGAATGCATTCTGGGCTGATAACATCAGCAGATAGCCTAAGAAACTATAAAGCACCGACTTGTGACACTTTAACAAAACCCTTACCACATGTGACAGTGATAGGTGCTTTGCTAAGTCAGTGCTCCCACAGTGCTTTTGCTAAGCACTGTGCCATGCTCCCAAGAAACTTAAGCATGGCACAGTGCTTAGCAAACTCTGAAAACAAATGACACTGAATTTGGGCTCCATGGTTTTCATCCTGGTGGTGTTTCTCAAATCTGTCTTCCTGGATATCTGCTTTGCTGTGATTGTCTTGTGATGATTTAAAGACACAATAGAGGGGGCTGGAGAGATGGCTCAGTGGTTAAGAGCACTGACTGCACTTCCAGAGGTCCTGAGTTCAAATCCCAGCAACCACATGGTGGCTCACAACCATCTGTAATGAGATCTGATGCCCTCTTCTGGTGTGTCTGAAGACAGCTACAGTGTATTCATATATAATAAATAAATAAATCTTTAAAAAAAAAAAAGACAATAGAGCCCAGCATGGCTATCATGGCACTGGCAGGCCTTCACCATTCCCTCTCCCTTGCTAAAACCTGTTAGATAACATCCCTAAGCTAGCCCCCAAGGTCTATTTGGCCACTTCCTCCTCCTGAGGCTGACCACCAAGGTTCAACTATTGAAGTCCAGCAATCAAAAGCCCCCCTTGGCTCACCTAATTATCATGCCCAATTAAAATTACACACATCATTCCAGCACCAGGTTCCCCCTCTTTTCCTCTATAGACCCACCATTTGCCTATGGACGACATCTCCCCACTATCCAGAGGCCATCTTTTATCCTCTGGGACAAAGCCCCTCCCCCTTGCCCCTTCTCTCTTGTCCCCTGTATCATGTCTTTGTCCCTTATCCCTGCCTTCTGTCCCTCTGGGGAAAATAAATCACCTTTTACGCTGAGAACTTCGTCTTGGGGTATCTTGAGCCAATTTCCCTACAGCATCTTTCATGAAGATACAAGGGAACACTGGTGTTTATTGTCAAAAATGGCTAAAGCCAATCTCTGAAACTTTCTGCTTCTTCGTACTCTCTTAGATCAGAAATATTCTAGAACCACTAATACTTTTAACATATATCTTAAAATTAATTTTGTCTCATATCTTTAATCCCACCACACTTGGGAAGCAGAGGCAGGTGGATCTCTGTGAGTTCGAGGCCAGCCTGGTCTACAGAGTAAGTTTTTAGACAGCCAGGGCTGTTACACAGCGAAACCCTATCTTGGGAAAATAATAAGTTGTGTGTGTGTGTGTGTGTGTGTGTGTGTGTGTGTGTGTTGTGTGTGCGTGTAGCCAGTTTTGAAGAGCATGAATAGTTACTCAGTTTATATTTGTGTGAGTGTGAGAGACTGTGTGTGTGTGTGTGTGTGTGTGTGTGTTGTATACATAGGTACGTGAGATACATAGATACGTGAGAGGAGATGAGATTGGCATCTATTCCTCTATCTTTCTCCACCTGTTTTTTGTTTTTGAGATGACATCTCTTATTGAATAGTCTTATTGAATAGCTCATAGTTTCAGCTTGGCTGGCTGGCTGGCTGGCTGGCTAGCAAACCTTGGGAATCTGCCTGTCTGCCAGCCTCTCCACTCAGGCACTGGGGTTGCAGATAACACTCTGGGGCCCAGCTTTTACATACAGAAAAATTGAGTTCTGGTGCTCTGTGCTCTTGGATGGAGAAGCTGCTGCCCCCAGAAGCTCAGTGTGTATTATACAGAGTTAAACAGAGAGGTAGGGTTAATGCATACAGCCGAACAAGGAGGCAGGTTTATATACATACATATAGTCAGGGTTTATAGTATACAGCTTGGTCAAGGAGACAGGTTTAATCTCAGTAGAAGCAGATTCTGTAGGGGAGCAGTCTTCAGGCCATAAATAAATACCCAGGGGGAGAAAGCTGTGGTGAACACTTTTTGCACACACTGTTCACATTCACACATGAACCAGAGGGAAGGCTTGGCCATTTGCCTCCAAGTCTCACCTTGGTGGCTGGGGGGAGATGCTTTGCCATTTTCACATTGGTTTGAGGCTAGGGTCCTTGACATGGTTAGCTCATGTCAACAGCACACATTCTCTCAAGACTTCACTCTCTCAAGGGCCCACACGGTGTGGGTATTTCTTGGTAGATAGTTAATAGTCTGATTCCTTATGACTTTTT